ATTATATAAGTACTGCGAAGTAACAACGACTATGAGCGACAACATCGTTCTTGAAATGAGCGAAGTGAAAATGAGCATGCGATTTTTTGATGCGTTTCATGCTGCCACTCGTACAGAGAAGATCACCACAAATTTGGAAACGCGTTGTAACTGAACTGGCAATCAAAGAAGCATGGTACTTGCGACAAATCCACCGACTGCAATGGTTGCTACAATATTTCCAAACGCGAGCTTGACGACGCTGCCAACACCGGAAGACATATCACCATCGATGACCCCAAAGGGTTTCATGTCGATATCATCACCGTCGGTATTCTTGGTAATTCGAATGGGTGTGGAAGTAGGGAATTCTGTTTTCGCCACGACAGGTGGAGAAGTAGGGGCTAGGGGGGTAGCAGGGGCATCCGTCGCATTGAGACAATCGTCCGGTGGCTCGACGCCCGGAACCAGAACAAAATCCGGGAGGACCGACCAGCCGGTGGAGTTGGATTGCGGATCGCAGATCTGGCACTGCGATACAAAGGTTTCTCTGCGGCTTTTGCGGTACGAATAAAAATCCCCCTTGTCGATGCAAATATTGTCGATGAGGCACACAWAATCCCCCACCATGTCTGTATCGCAATTCACGATCGAGCGTGTTTTCGGTAWGATGCGTTATCATGATATAGTTAGAACAAATAATTTGGTCAAGGGTCACACTTTCAAACGGGATGCAATTTTTCGTACGTACTTCCAAAACTCCATTCTGTCTTGCTCTCGCTGGGCTTACAGACCAGACACGAGCGTCCAAAAAGTTCCGACGTTTCGCCCTCTTCGTAACAAACGTTATCAATGAGACAATGCCCATCCTTAATTACGGGGTTAGCAACGTTCCCCCCTTCGAGATCACAGCTCTCGACACAAGACGGAGCCGATGTCTCACTTGCCGTGAGTTTGACAGCAAAGAACTGGTACTCATTGGTATTGCTCGATACTTTTCCCATCTGGAAGGCGGTACCAACATCGTCGTTTTGGTCGATTCCCTCCTCGACGATCTTGGTTTGAAGCGATCCACCCCAGTTGATGACAGCGCTCTGTGTGTAACCGACCATGTAAACATCGCCATCGGGATCGCCGACGATGTCATAGACCCTAGTCTTCCCGACCCCTCCACTGTGCATGACATATTCGCCCTGACCAGTCTCTGAGTTCAATTTGGCGTTGTAGGAGCCCTCGATTCCGTTGTAATCTGGTAGTTCAACAGTATCAAAGTTGTTGCCGTGGCCATAGCTCTCGCTGTTCCAATAGAACCCGGACACCATGATCGATTTCCCGTCCGGCGCAGACACAATGCCGGCTACGGGGTGGACATCGGCCCCCCAGATYGGCAAGCCAGTGTATTTGTGGTATTTGATGACGCACGCATCGACGCCTTCGTGCCCCGCTCCACAGTTTGCACCCGTWRAAGCGTCGGCGGCCGGAAATGCGTTCTCTTCGTCAGACCGCGGCACAAAAGTGGAWCCCTCGGGACAGTCGGCTCCGGTCACGTTTCCGTTGGGGTTAATCTCGTACTCGGGCGTGAGCGTACCGTCGTTGTCATTGCGACAGGCMGCATAGGGAGTTCCCTCGTCTAGGGTGGCGATGCCCTCTTCCCCAACGTCGTCCAAGGCGACGTATACATAAGGTCCATCGAGATCGTTTGCCAGCYCAATATCTCCAGTCTGATCAAARAAGTTCCAGCGTGGTGATCCCTCGGTAGTCCTGATCCACTCKGTGGTTCCGTCGACGGCAGAAAGACGCATGGTAATGGCACAAACGTCGTGGTTGCAGTATTTGTGATCCTTTGTRTCAGAGGGGATTTCTGTTGCTTCTCCAATGTAGCTAGTAGTCCCGGTCACATAGAGCGAATCATCTTCCTCGTCGTAGGCAATCCACATTGCAGCTCCTAGATCARGATATTTCTGTTCCCAAAGAATTGAGCCATCCTCAGCAGCAAATTTCGCTACAAAACCGTCGCAGGATGCGATGGGTTTTTCATCTGCGTTCACTTGCACTTCATTATTATCTCCAACCAGGAGGTTACAAGAGTAACCCGCCCCGTATACGTTCCCGTCGCCATCGATATCCACCCCAACGGTTTGTGCATCCTTGTTGGATAAGGGGTAGGCAACCATCCACTTGGCATCACCGGTTTCGGCATCTGCCGAGATGACAAAGCCATCGTCGTAGCCATTCGTGATGGCGTTTGGGTGCGCAATGTAATCGGTGGCAGTGCCCTCAGCATTAGAGTTGTACAAGGTGGTTTTGGTGGAGCCATCTCCRTGATCGGCAGTGAGGCTGCCCACGAAATGACCTGAAACCGCCAGCAACTTGTCTCCGTTGTCGAGCTCTCTCGCYGCAAGACCGCTTGTTTCGTCCTGTCCTTCGCCGTAATAGACGAAAATATCTTGTGGTTCGCCCGTCGTGGCGTCGATCTTCGTCACTCCGACCTCGTATTGGGCAAAGCTTCCAAACTCGGTAGTGTAGGACACCAGATCGACACAGAGGATTCTAGAGAAGTAGAATCCAGTGGGATCCTTGTTGTTGTACGGCCCCGTGAGGCAGAAGTCTTGGTCGGTYTCCACAAAATCCTCTTTGTCCGGTGCCCCCGTCGACTTGAGATACCCTGCGGCATACAGCGAATTATCGAGAAACGCAGCACGCCGGGTGTACATTCTACCGGTGAGACGCGTTCCAAACGCAGCCCAGTCGTAGGAGGGAAGCTCGCAAGTTTGTTTATAAGTGTCCTCGAACGAGACAGCTCGAGCCTTTTCTAGTAGCATAGACACTGMTACTAGATGGAGCATCGACGAAYAGAGTGATTGTTTCATAATTCAAATCGTTYTGTTTTAATCTTGCAATCTTTTCTTCGCTTCAGGAAAACTGCGCTTCAGAAAAGTGTGTGCTCCATATTTTACAACGGAGGTCAATCAGAATTCAGGAATCCTAGATATCGTAGATGCAATTCATTTTCATTTCATGACACCATTACGGAAAAGATATAATTCTTTTCTATGTTCCAAATGGTGGACAGGAGGTTCATCAGCTGCAATTGCACATTAGTATYTATCCGACATGATATAAGAAACCGAGCTCACGCTCCTTCCACGAACTGGCATGCATCACTGGCGACTCATTTTCTAATTCTGTTTCGATATATACTACTGCTGATCAACAATGATTCTMATTAATTCGAAACAGTATGATCCAACRAAACCCAATCCACACTTCACTGCTTTCCTTCTCGTGTCTTGTTTCTTYTAGATGGTACTGATGGGTTAGATCGTGAAAGCATCTTACGGTATCGAAGTTCTCAKTTTGCGCGTGCAATTGATTTAGGGTTTTTCGATATCCAAATCCACTTTTCCCGACGTCTGGCACGATCTTTCCACGCTTTTGTCTCGTGATCTTCTAGCACTAGTATGTGCTTCGTACGAAGATATGTAGAGTAAGTACTCCTACGTGCTACGGTAGGGTACTAGTACCGTACAGTAGCACAACAATTTCAATAGTCGATTTCAATTTCAATAGTCGAGTGAGTCTAACATGGGACTCGACATTGATACGGGACTGCAATCCATCCCCGTAAAAAAAGTGATATGTTTTTGATGTGCTTGTGAGATTCTGAGAAAAGAAACTGATGTGAAAGTAATTTGGATGGCAGGTCGCATACGTTGTAGTAAACTTGAGTGACCATGAGATTCCGTCATGATAATGTCATGTTGATTGGAGTCATTCTATTTATGATTTCCAGTACGGTGCAAGTGCATATAGTGGAGGGGCTTGTCGTGAATAGAAACAGGCAGCATCAACAGGCACAAACACAGACACGTCTTTCGAATCACCGCGGTGATCATCAGCCGCAAGCCAATAGCGACAGMGGCAAGACCYGTCGAAATAAAACCAGTAGCAAACCCAACGCAAACGATAAAACGCTTGTTTCTATGCTGGCCAAGGCTTTCAGAATCATGCACGATCAGGGAGGGACAACGGCCGTCCTGAAGGGGTGCCAGGACACGTTGTTGCAATACAAGGCTCCGGTTCTAGTCAATGCAGCATTGATGGCGGGCAGCGGGGAATTTTCCAATGGAAATAGAAGAAATAATTATAACATTAGAAAGAACAAGGGCGTTTCATCGGGGATACTCAACGCCCTTCTCGGATGCTGTTGCGTCGTAGACGACGGTGGCAAAAATACCTCCAAATACAGACAGATGGCAGTCGATCTGATGACGGCATACGATRGTATTGATTCCTTCGAACCGGATTTAGTATCCTTGTGTTTGGCTTATGTTGCAACAGCGACGCCGGATAAAGCAAGAGAGAGAAAGAGCAAGGATGAATCCGTTGCGGAGACATTTTTACGGCGTGCCGAGCAATTCTACAGCTCTACCCCGGACCATGATAARGTCAATCCATCCAACCAGAATGCACCGAAAACAAATGCGGGGACGGCCATTGAATTATCATCGATCTCGCACGAACTMGAAGAGCTCTATGGCATCAAGATTCTGCAGGATTCCAAAGAATTTGTGGTGYTGTCCAAGCCAAGCGGGATGGTATGTTATCACGGAGAAAACAGTCCCGCTTTGGCTGCTGATAAAGGCAGGAAAGGAAATCAACAAACWCAAAAAKATCATCGAAAGCGCAAAAAGCAAAGGRTCCTGGGCGGTACCGATGACGACAAAAGCCTCGAGGACTGCTTGCTGGAATATGGCATTCCGCTGTCCTCSMTGAAYAAGGAAGGGCGGGGGCTCGTGCATCGGATCGATCGAGGGACATCGGGTTGCCTTGTGCTGGCCAAAACAAATAGAATGCACGYTATCCTGCTGGCTCAATTCTTTCTCCGGCGATCGAAAAAGTCTTACCAGGCACTGGTGTGTTGTTCGTCYGATTCGCAACAAMGGGCACTGCTGAAAAMGAAACCAAAAGGCAGTGGTGACAGCGTGCSTAGTTCGATCGTTTCGCTGGACGTCGATGGCCGCCCGGCAACTTCCAGGTATGCACTCGAGCGGCGCGTCGGAAGCCATCTAGCGCGWCTCCGGGTAGAAACCGAACAGGGCCGGCGGCACCAGGTGCGAATCCACTGTTCGAACGGCTTGGGGGCACCGATCTTGCTGGATCCGCTGTACGGGGGGCAGTCGATCCTGTCCACGCTGCTCAAGAACCAACGAGCGAAATCGCCTCTGCGACGGGCCCGGGACGATCAACGATTTTGCCTGCACGCCAGTTCCCTGGTGATCGAAAGGGTCGGCATCGATGTTTGGGCTCCGCTGCCAGATTGGTGGCAAGAGCTCGAAGAGGAACTGCAGCAATCATGAATCGTATCGAAATTTGTATGAATCTATTGATAAACCTGCTGCATTACAACAAATGTCAAAAAGCATTAATCCGTTCAAGTTGGACAAATAATTCTTCCAACGACACACGGTCGGATAATTTCTAGCAATGTATTGGGATACTGAAACCTAGCCATCATTCCTATCATTGACTCTGTGAAAGCACTCGAGCATGGTTTTTCTCTTAACTCGTATCCGTGTGTTGTTTGGTGCAACAGTACTCGATTCGCATGGCAGCGCTTATCAAGTCTTGTGCTGCAGTAGATTCGTCTCGGTCTAGACACAAACCAAAGGGCTTTGTGTAAAAAGTGAGTAACATATGACGGAATTGGTAGGCTGAACGGTTGGTTTTTCTAATTGGTATGCAACAAAGCCACCGTATTTTTTGTCACACCAAAATTGGAGCAAGGATCTCCGTTTCACCATACGTGCCCTCGTGTGGTTTTTCTGTTCTCGTGTACGGCCGTGGCATGCTATGCATTGCAATGCATCCGTCCCAAATTCCGCTAGATTGCTCCATCGGACGATACGCACAGAACCGTAGCTACCTTGCGCTGACAGTGCGGAAACGGGACGTCCAGGCACGTGGGGCGATTAATCACCGCATAGCCATGCTTTCGGTTCGATTGGTCCGGATCCGATGCCACCGTGCCGTTGTTCGATCCGTTCGAACCAAACCTCGCCGGTAGTGGAAAAGGCATGGCCATGGTCGAGGAGCCCCCACCGTCCATATTGATGGCGTAGACCGCACCGAGGTCCACCATGAGGTCGGCGAGTTCTTCCAGTGTCGGGCCTTTTCGGCGGAGGCTTGGAAATAATCACCCGAAACGCAGACACCACAAATCAAAGGGAAMCATCAACACGTRMGTAGATGAAGAGGGACGTCAGAGGTTCGTGATCAAATTGCAGCGCAATGAGRTGAGATCGTCTCGSGTGCTGTCTAGTGGCGGCTCGGCGAACCAATCCATCGTCTCATGCCAACCAACCATCTAGTAGTGACACGATTGCTTCGGTTTGTAGCAAAACCACGCATACCACGGCGGAGCGCGACGCAAGACAACGTACCAGTGTTCGCATCCGTCTACCACYAGCACCAAGAGGTTGGAATCCCCGTCCAATCCAATGGCGGTGCGCGGGGCACGGACCGCCCCCGTGGGATCGCTGTCCCGGRACACCGGCCTTCCGTGGTAGACYAGCCATCCAAAGCCGGTCACAAAGTCCCAAACGGCCGTGGCTTGCGGCGTGGCGGCTGGCAGGGCCTCCAGCAGCTGGCCGTAGGTTCCGAGAATCCAGTAGCGCTTTTCGCTGCCATTGCCGCTGTCTCCGTCGCCATCGCCATCGGTGCTTGTCCGCTGCTCGGTCGCGGTGCCAAACCCTACAAAATTGGTGGCGTTGGCACCGGGTTTGGTCCGCACGAGGACCCCGTTTCGGACCGTGGGTCCCGAGTTCCAGATCCCGCCCTCGTCGAAGGGGCCGCCGTTCGTGGCCACAATGTCGCAGCGGTAGTCCGAGGCCTGCACGGACGTTCGTTCCAAAAAGCCCTGCGACGACGAGAAGGAAGTGTTTTGCTGTTTGCGCCTGCTTTCGTTCTCGTTCTCGTTCTCGTTCTCGTTCTCAGTTCCGGGATTTGGCAAAACGACCGACCAGGGGTAGTTCGTGGCGACTAGGTAATATCCACGGTGCTCTTTATCGTATGAATGCGCCTCGCTGTCCACAACAACATCGGTGGTGGTGCTCATTCTAGGACTATGGGTGTCATTCGAACTCCTTGTACTTGTGATTGGGATTGTGGTGGTGGTGGTGGTGGTGGTCGTCGTCGTCGTCGTCGTCGTCATTTTTGTTTGCTTTTTCCTCCTCGTTGTGACCCTGACGAAATAGGGACGATTCGTTCCGTCTCCGCTCGTGGGCAAGGGAAGCACTACGGGATCCGGAAGCGGCCGGTAATTTGGTGGTGCTCCCCCTCCTTGTTTGGATTCCAAAGGATCGCCATCGGGAGCCGCCAGAGAAAGCTCCGCATCCAGGGGCTGCTGCTGCATACCAATCGTTACTGGTGGCATCGTCCTCCATACTGTCGAGAAAGCGSCCGCCGTGGCAATGATGGCAACCATCTTTTTCAGCCGGTGCGTCTGACTATGCCTGGATGCTTCCATTGGGTGGAGATCTACACCGCACCGCGGCGTACTGTTCGGAGGGGACTGCGTAACTTGTTCTGTCCTGGTGCATTTTGAATTTTGTGTCGTGAAGAAGAAGTACGAGTACCGGTACAAGTAACAGTAATCAGAACCAAACACAGACACGGACGAGACACAAAGGATCCTCTTCCGATTTCCGAGATTGGCAGTCGACTCAACCGATTCATCACAGATAGGGAAGCAACGGCGTGGAAAGTGGAAATAATAGAATGGCTCGTACTTGCACGTACGTACGGTACGAACATACCTGTTATCGTTACATACATAGTAGTATGGTACCAGTAGTATGGGTCTTCAGTGTGCAGGGGTCATAACGAAATGAACCTTCAAAACGCAAAACACCTCGTACTGACAGYACGATACCGCACAGTAGATCTCATGTACATAAGTGTACGGTACCGTTACGTATGACGACAAAAGAGGAAAACAAAATACCGCAAGGAAAACAAACGACATCTAATTCTGTGCTTGTTTGAWTGTTTGTTCGCAGGTTTGTGTAGGAGAAACCAGAGCTAGCCACCACCATCGACACAAGCACASAAGGCAACCGCTACCGCATGGCACCCCGTCACACCTCGCATTCTGTTCGAAAGGCCGATCGACTGAATCCTTCCTCCCACGGCCCCATGGCTTCGCGGAAAAACCGCAGGCAGTCGAAAGCGGCGAGCGACGAGGATTCCAGGCGTCTCTTTGTCCCCGGCATTGGCCCCCGCCGCCCTCGCCCCGCACCGGCCTTGTCCCTCCGGAATTTGTGGCCKCTGCGCAAGCGGAGAAACGGATCGGCCGGGGCGGCGGCGGGCGTTKGGCTCCTCGCCCTGTTCTCGCTGCTGCTGGCGCTCTGGAACCACCGGACACGGGGAGAGTWCGGGTATCGCCTGGGCATGCTCGCTCCGGGAAGCGGGGGGCACCCGTTCCCCGGTGTTTGCTCGCACCAGGTACTGAATCCCCCGGTTGCGCGTTCCGGTGGGGGCCAGGCCTCCCCCCTCTCCCCCGCAGAGGGATCCCTCGAMGCCATGACCGCCCTGTGGGACACCGGTGGCGTGTCCTGTTTCGACATCGACGTCGTCACCCTGTCGGACGGGAGCATGGTGGCCTCGCACCCGAGGCGGCTGAACGCGGCCATCGAACGGGCCCGTCTCGAGCGAAGTGCCGAGGGGAAGGACGGCCGGGCCCTCGAGGAACACACCCTGGGTTCCATTCGGGAGTTGCTGGGTCTGCGGAAAGGGGACGAGAACGGCAACCTCCGTAGGGGGGTTGACACSGGGGCGGCCGCCTGCCCGTTTCCCCTCTTCGACGAGGAAGTCCTGCCGCATTTTGCGGGACTRGTCCGMGGAGTCCCCGGRGCGTTTTCTTCGGAGGCCTCGGCCGCSGCCCCCGAGTGGACCATAAAGGGCCCCATGCTCAACATCGATCTCAAGCAGGGCCCCTACCTGACGGAAGCCAGGGTTTTGAAACTAGCGGAACAAATCCACACCCTCGGTTTGGAAGACTATGCCGCCGTTTGTGTCAACCCGCCCCCCGCGGAGAAGGAAACCAGCACCGGTTCTCCTCCCCCACTGGACCTGCTGGAAGTCATGCACGGCCACAACACGGAGGGCAGRCACAAACGCGAGGGTTCYGGACGAGGGAGACCAACCATTCCCCTGGCACTGGTTCTCAGGGATCTGGTTCCGGAAGACGGCGACACCGATCGGRTTCGAAAGGTGGTGGAAGAACTGTATCCCGAAAGCATCCGGTCGCTGGTTCCCTCCTTCAAGTTTCCAATAGAATGGTACCGGAGCATTCGGCAAGGCGGAAAGRACGGAGCGGGAGGCGCCCGAAAAAATGAGTTGTGGAAGCTTCCCATGACGGTTTGGACGATCGATTCCGCAGAGGACTATCGATATGTTTCTTCCGTMACAATGGAGGATGCAACGAGCGGYAKYGGTGTWAACTACCCCCTGGCGTCGGCAGTGGTTGCCAACAAGCCAATGGAATTGATCCGATAACCGATCGCTTTTCCGACTGGCGGATGAGCTGCGGCGCGGTACGAYCCAGCGCCCGGAAGCACTCGTGTTCCTTGAARGAAATTAACCGCGGGTCCCCGGCAAGCAAACCGATACTGTGCAACGCCCGGAGTTCGTTCCGCATTGCGCCAAAGTTACATCCATGGTTTGCTTCGTGCTTCAAACCGCATTCGAAACGACCAAAAATCAKYAAAGCACCGAGGGATATCGATATTGAATGGAGCCAATCAGTTTCCATGTCTATCGAACTAAATGGAGTTCCAACGTGAGACAACATCTGCACTAACAGAGATCACTGCCTCGGCAATAAGAGTTTCGTAGCCATGGGAAATCCTTTTTTTTTAATACTCTGAAAGGACAGCTAGACGTAAAACATGGCTTCRATTGTTGTGAAAGTCGCCGTAATCACGACAGAATTATTATAGTGAACTTCTTTTAGAATTTATCAGAACTCGGCGGGGGAAAAACTGAAGTCCGAAACTTATAGAGTGTATTTTTTGTCTTCAAATCGAGTTTGTCATCGCGTAATGGTGCCTTTTTGTTATGCTTCCAGTTCCATAGAGTTGTCGTCGCTAACTTTAATTGTTGCCGTTGCTTTTCTTTCAGTTCCATTGCCTTCGATGGCTAAACTCCCATCTGTGTCMGCGTTGGCTTTCTCTGAATCAATTCGGCCTTCGCCGCTCTCCCCGTCGTCTGGTTTCGAGTAGACGCTTGTTCTTCTCACTTCGCGTCTGGCATTTGTGTAACTTCCAACCAAACAAAGGGCGGCMAATGAAAGAACGAGGTACACAATGAGGATCGCAACATTGATCCTCGGTGAAATTCCTGCTTCACTCAGCAGCGTGTATACCAGTAGAGGAAGCCATGAAAGGCATTGCCCAGCAAACAAAAATACRCCCATCATTTCCGTATCTTGTCCTTCCGGGATTAGAGCAGCGCCAAGCAATTTGTCCATGCTGTACTTCCATCCACCGCAAAACCCAATCAAAGCGACAATCGCGTATGCTCTCTTCGTTTGACCGACTCCAGACAATACAGAGACGAACAACACAATAACTAGCATCATAGAAACCATGTTAATCCTAGCAGATCGGATCGGGTCTAATCGTGTTGCAAAGATCTTGGCGACCACTGCACCCGGTACACTACCAGCCAATGTRATGATGATAGTAATTGAAGTCTGGAGTSCGTTGAGCTTCATGAAATCAGTAAAATATGTTACTGTGTGAAGTAACGGCAAGTTGGGGAGAGAAACGAAATTAGCATGAAACGAAACCAATAGATCAGAAAGATACCATACTTTGGAACCAAGGCTTACGAACGTAACGGCGTAAACAATTATTACATACACATGCAGAGCGCAAATGTCTGCCAACCTGCATCGGAAAAGCAAAGATGAATGAAGAACCACTTGAGTCCGCGATAATTTCTCGCAATGTGCGTTGACGTCTGGTAGAGCTGGGTGAAACCTGAAGTCCAGAGATTTGCATCTGGAGGCTTCTCATGAAGAGGTTCTCGTKTCTGAAAGAGACCCCACCAAGCTATACTCATACACAGAGCATTGATGGTGAATGATGTTGCCATACCGATTCGGTTCAAGAAAAGGTCGGAGCGTATTTTCAGAAGGATGAATGCGCCAAGGATGGCAGAAAGATAAACTACCATCCCGGCATAAGTCCAGATGGTGATGCATTTGATCCAGTATGCCAATTGCAATTCGCATTTAGTCAAATCTGGCAAATAAGAGTACTGGATAGCGGTCACGAACCACCCGAAAAATACGCTGAGCGCGTGGAAAAACAACATGTAAACATAGTTTTCCTCGTTCAAAAATATCAACGGGAATATGAACATTGTGTACAATATGGACATGATTCGTCCAATCAACAATCGATGTCTCGTGTAATCGATAACAGCTCCAATGAATGGCAACATGATTGCCGCAATCAATCCAACGACCCCTGCATACGTCGTCAGCAGAGACGTAGCATTTAGCCCGCCAACGCCCGGGCCGCACTGTTCTCGCACCAAATCTGCATCCGTTTCGTTGGCCATGTTTAGACGACAAACGTACGCTTTCTCCGCCACTCGCAGAAGCGCAGTTGCAAAGAAGGCACCGGWMCCAATGTATTGCATAGCCATAGAAACAGACACCATAGTCCAASCTATCGCTTCAGAATTTCCATCGTACAAAGGTTTCCCCCTCCATCGAGGATAGTATTTCGAAACTTGCCTCTCGCTTCGAGACGACAACTGAGGTTCTGACTCTGGTGATGTTGCTCGGTTGGAATTCTCCATGGTATCCGGAACATCCATGGGGGCTGAAGTTCCGGTTCCAGATTCAGTTGAACTGCACATCACTTCTGATGTSATGCGATGGGATTTGGTAATAATATTGGTGCGAAATAGGATTTCGTGAATGTTCGTCGCCTCAGTACTACTCGTGAGATGACTAAGCAACAGCACATGCGGTACTCGTATCAGTATTAACGGTAACGTTCAGAACCATAGGAACAAAAATAGCAATTTATGTGGTTGTGGTGGAACGTACTCAAGCCAACGGAACTGTAAGTAGGTCCTTAAATAATAATAATATTTCTACTAGTAGTAATATGAAATGCTTGCGGAAAATTTTCATCGAGCCTCGAAGCTATAAAAACAAAGTTTACGTGTTGATGGGGAGTTGCCAACCAATATCGTTTTTAAGGGATATGTTTTTCAGAATCCGAACCAACAATCTCAAATCACCAACCTACGGTAACCGTATGACAAAGAGCTTGAATGAATCAATGAATCTTTCTTTCTCTTCATTTATTGCTTTTGAACATGAGACCAAATGCACATAATAAAAGTTACCGTACGTCATAAATTGCATTCCATATTTTGAATATAAATGATATTTGCAACACTTTTTATATAAGGGGATAGTTCGGAACTCCGGAGATCTAATAAATGCGCTGCGCTTATGGTCTCAAAGACAATTAGTCAACTAATTATTTCGACAAACAACAAAGAATCAAATTACAACTAAGTACTTCGAAGAGAAAGGAGCTATTCCGTAACGGGGATGGAAGTTTGTATCATCATCATTCGTCAGATATTCTTACAAATTCGAATAATTACGAAACCACAGCAAAAAACAAATAGTAGATATCAATTAGGTCCCTTACTTATTAAATATGTAGTTTTTGGTAGAAAAGTTGCAGTTTTGTCCAGTTGCAGTTTTGTTTCTGCGTAGACATAGGCTTTCGCATTAGATAATTATTTGAACACGAAGCGGGACTTCATGTACGATCAGGTGCTATGAAAATCGGGACCTTAGACAATCATCCCTAACGTTCTCATTACGAGCGGTAGAATACATCGTCATTGCAGTCATTATTTCGGAATGTCGTCACTGTTTACGAAAGAAGAATAGATGGTTTACTTACTTAGACTTTAATTTTGACGGAATGACACTGACTAAATCCAAGCTCATTCTGAATTTCTGAAGTCTGAAACAAACCTGAAACCTTCTTGCACTCTCTAAATTTCCTATTACTAGAGTGGATTACCAATCTAGTACCAGTCCTAGTACTACTACTAGTAGTAGTACTATGAGGAGAAGAAGCTGCTGCTGGTGGTGGGCAGTGGTGCAAAGTATCGTATAGGCTTGGCCACGTGTTTCCGGCTGAAATTATCCTCGTACATTTTTGAATACAGATATACGTACACGTATATCGATCAATATTCAACGTACGCCGTTCTCCCCAACGCCATTAGAAAGCTCTTTCAATTATCTTTTCAACCATGTGCTTATCGTTGTTAAGCGTCCATTGGGGACCAAATTATAGTTGTTAGAGTGAGTTGTACCCTACTTAACCCTCTACGTGTATTTTGTACTGTGCGGGGATTTTTGGCTATCTTTTCACCGTGTAATGACTACTTTGACTCAACTCCCAACGGACACAAATTTGGCCACTAATCGTGGTCAACTCTTATTTTGGCAAGAGATCTCCTTGATACATTTGTTCTGTTTCCGGTTTATCAGAAGGAACTGTGACGGATCCATTTCCCC